CGTGGCTAGGCGACGACTTCAGGAGAAGGCTTGCAAGATCCCGAGGCAGTGCGGATAAAGCCTTTCAGAGGTGCTTCTCGTATCAAAGCTGAAGTGAGGACCTCTATCGGCCGATTCTTCGGCTTTTATACTTTTTGACGGATCTGGGATAAGAACGAGAAATTATTTGAAATTATTTAAATTAAAAGCAAATTTTTGTAAATGGCCAAGAAGAAAAGAGTATTTTTTGAAGTAAAAACATCAGGCCGGTAACAATATTTGAATAAAAATTGCCACGACAACCAGATAAACAACGATGTCAAAACATGTCAAATTTTGGTTTTAAGCTCGTAATACAGAAACGGCAAGATTTAAGTGAAAAATGAGATATTATTTATATAGGAAAAAAGGTAGCGCAAGAGCGCGCACGAAACCCGAAATTGTAGAGTTACGGAGAACTAAATAAAAGATCGAAAAAAGGTAGACTCCATTGACACCGATTTAAAAAGTGCTGATAACGTGAAAATACGAAGTGAAAATGATTTGTTATTGTGTTCTTATGAATTAAAAATATTACAGGATCCTATGGAAATAAAGGTGATGCAAAATATCCAGTTTTGAGGTGAATGTAGAAAATCAAAAACAGAATGGAAAAATAAAAATAAAATAGTGTAAAATGATATGTAAGTATGTATGTAAGCATAACACTACAAATACTAGTGCAAAAAGTAGTTTAATTCCCTTGAGTTTGTATGATGTGCATGACAAGAACTGTAGGCTATTTTAATCCCCCCCCGAACGGGTTCCCGCCTTGTCGTGGCGGGGGGCTTAGAAGCCGTGGCTTGGTCACCCACGGCGAAACAAAGAGGAACCCATATGGCTGGTCCGAGGTGGAGGGCCGGCCCGAGGTTGGCCACTCCGAGTGGGCTTGGGAAGCCCACTTCGGATGTGTTGGTGGACTGCGGTGAGAGGTGTGTCCTCCCCACCTACCGCTGCAGCCGAGGTGGAGTCGCGGAGGAAGAGGAGTGTCGGTATTGCGAGGCGCCGCTCTCCCTATCCTCCGCAGCCGAATCTTGGTTGGCGGCGGAGCCATAGACCAGATCCGCCGCTGGGGTCGGGAAAGCTAGTACTTCTAAGTGCTCGTTTTTCCTGGCCCCATGGCCTTCGCGCATCGGACGCGGGGGCGTCTGTTGCGCAGATGTAATTGGAGGCCGTGGAGGAAGGCGTGCCATGTGTTCTGGTGCGCCTTACTTGAAAAGGAGAACGGGGAGGAATATTCCTCTCCCGATGAGGTGCTGCCATGGGGCGGCAGTCGCTGGTGGGGCCGCGGATGTGTGCGAAAGCGTTCCCGTAGCCCTGCCAATATGCGACGAAGGTGGAACACCATGGGGTTTTAGTCGGTGCGAGTCCGACATAACCCGTCCTTGCCCCCGCGAGGTGGGTATGCGTAGGCATTTCCCCATGTTAAAAAAAAAAGGCTATTTTAATGACAAAGCGGCATTTGATCTTATCTTGTCCTCATAGGTAGCAACACATTTTTATATGGGGGCACGGCAGTGCCCCCGCCAAGCCGAGCAGAAAAGCGGCACGGCTGTACCGTACTTTTCTCGAAGCAATTCAGGCCATTTTCGACCCCCTGTAACATCGTAGTGGATAAAACTAGAAGCCTGAATTCAGAATCAGTAAACAAGTAGGCATTATATAAACATGGTATATTTCAAATTTCATTCAATTTGAACCAGTAGTTTAAGAATTATAACTAGTCAGTTTCTTAATTTTGTCACTCACTGACTGACCGATCATCAAAACTCTAAGGCATTTCTAGCAGACATAGAAGTTTCAAATTTAGAATACAATCAGTGTTTAGTATATAAATCAAAGAAAAACTAAAATTTTATTTAATTTCGGTCTAGTTTTATAGATACAACAACTGCATAAATAGCTTTGTAATTCCATATAAATATATAGGTTTACAAAGTTATATTTGCAGTGAATGAATCTGTACATGTTGTATATGTATAATAGGTATGTAGTCGATAGGTACGTTGTTGGTATTCAAGAAGTAGAAGGTATCGCAAAGGTACAAAAGTAGGACTATCTTATTCACAAAAATAAATGAGATACCATCAAAAACATAACTTGTAAAAAAAACAAGTTTCGCAACTCAGTTCAACCATAAAAAGTTGTGAGATCCATGTAATACCAAGTCGGTTAATTTATTCAGTCCCTACTTCCTTCGGGGAGTCAATCTATATATTTAAAACATAAAAGATTTTTAACATTGATATGGTCACTATAAAATGTTGTTAGGTTAGCTAATTACATAATAACTTAAAACAGAAGGACCCTTAAGTAGGGACTGAATAAATTAACTGACTTGGTATTACATGGATCTCACAATTTTTATGATAGAAGAACTGAGTTGCGAGACTTGTTTTTTTTTACAAGTTATGTTTTTGATGGCATTTTAATATAATATATGATTTATTTAGTTCTAGTAGTTTACTGCCTCGTTGATCTAGTGGTTGTAGTAGTGCGACTGCTGATCATGAGGTCCTGGGTCCGAATCCCGGGTCGGGCCAGAAATTAATTACTGAGTTTTCCTGTCAAGAAATTCTCAGTAGCTGCCCAGAGTCAGGAAGTTGGCGGAGTCTCACCCCCGTGCCTCGCAAAGCACGTAAAGCCGTTGGTCCTGCGCCTGATATCTCTCCGGTCGTGTCGGTTTCCCGTCCCATCGGATTATGAGAGTGAGGGAATAGAGAGTGCACATGTGCTTGCGCATACACTTGGGAACTATACTCCCGTTCTGCGCCGATGGCTAGCCTCCGTTGAGACAGGCCGCCGTGGCCGAAATTCGGACTGGAGGACATTATTATTATTATTATTATGTGGGGTATTTATATAGTTTCCTCATCTGGTAGGGTTCTATAAATATATAAGTATAAATGAAAATGAAAAGATAAATACACATAAATATCAATAAAATTAAATAAATACAAAAATACACAAATAAATAAAAGCCCAACCAGATGGAAGCCCTCGGCAAGGGAGACCAAACGGCCGAGGTTTAGGAGGAAAGGGAAAGAAACCGGCGGAAGATGCGGGCGGTATCGAGAAGCCCCGCCTTCTGCATTTGATCCCGGAGCGGTCCGTCACGGAGTCCCAGTCGCCTCAAATGATCCGAGAGGCTGACTGAAATTAGCCCATTCGCCGAGACGATCATATACATACATATACAATAATTTCGGCCGGCATACCACCTCACATGTCGGTCACCTCGTGAGCCAGGTCCAAATATTTCGTTCGTTTATCTGTTTCGGCTTTTACGAGGTTCCCGTCATATGGAATGGTAATATCGACTAAAAATATCCTTGACTGTGCCCGGTCCATCAGCGCGGTCTATCAGGCTTATTCGCAAGAATAGTCCTGTCCGTGATGATGGCCCGGTCCCAGTAGAGCCTGGCGCGGTCATTTTCGAGCACGGCCTCCGGCAAGTACTTGTAATACGGCAATTTCCGGTCCACGAGACCGTATTTCAGAGCGAGCTCCTGGTGTAGAAATCTGGCTACTAGGTTGTGCCTGTGCAAGTACTCAGAGTTATAAAGCGCCGAACACCGGAGATGACATGCCTAAGTGACTCCCCGGGATGGCGACAAGCTCGACAGACGTCGATAGTGCCATCCTTTAGGATGTATCTCCGATAGTTGTTGGTCTTAATAATCTGATCCTGTATTGCACAGACAAAACCCTCGGTTTCCCCAAGAGGTCACCGAAACGTAGCCGGTTGAGGGAGGCGGCTGTATCTACGTGGAGCTCCTTCTCCTTTCATACGGTCTCTCGGTCGGAAATGCTCTGTACTGCCGGGTCCTGCGATTGCTCGTTGGCTAAGGATAGAGGGGTAACTCCTTAATCACTGAAAATGACGTCATTATAGAATGGATCATCCGATTTTGCCAGGAAGTAATGACGGAGGCTGCCCACTTCGCGATTATGTATGGTGAGCGCGCTCGGGAAGCTACGCCCACCATGCTTTCGCGGCAAGTACAGCCTCATTACCGACGATCTCGGATGATGCATCCTATGGGACGTCATTGTAGTGCAGACTTTTCTATCCAGGGCGTTAAGTTCAGTCTGACTCCACCTGAGTATGCCAAAGGTATACATAAGGACAGGCATGACCCAGCTGTTATATGCGTGTGTCTTATTCACACCGGACAAAAGGCTGTTAAGCACTTTGGTCAAGCGTGCATAAAACACGTCGCAAACTGACTGTTTCATACCAGCCTCATCGATACTGATGTTCTGTGACGTACCCAGGTATCGGTATGTTTCAGCCTCAGAAAGGGTCCTTAAGTTAACGGGCATAGATAAGTCTATGCCCTCAGAGTTAGCAACCCTTCCCCTTTCAACGTGGAGGACCGCACACTTATACGTCCCCAGCTCCATTCTAATTGAATTGCTAAATTCACAAGTGATGTTTAGCAATTCCACAAGATGGGAGCGACTGGAGGCGAATAATTTGAGGTCGTCCATATAGAAAAGGTGGTTCACTTTTGTACCTCCTTTCTGAAGCTGAAATCCCCTCCCGGAGCCCTCCACTAAAGTACTGAGAGGGTTCAAAGAGATGCAGAACCAGATTGGACTCAGACAGTCGCTCTGGAATATACCCCTTCTTATCCTTATGTGGCTTTCCGCAGCCATCATACGCTCGCTAGATGACAGAGAATCGTACTCCACTGCCCCATACACTGCTCGAGGAAGTCTCGAACTGTACAGTCAATCTTGTATAGCTCGAGGACCCTCTTTAGCCATGTATGGGGCACCAAGTCAAATGCCTTTCTGTAATCTATCTAGGCGGCGGAGAAGTTCCAACGGTTGCGTTTCACCACTTTGCCAATGACCGCGAGCAATGAGGAGTGGTTCCTTGGTTCCACGGCCGCCGCCCCGACATCCATTTTGAGCGCGCGATATCACCTGATTTGAGTCAAGGTGACGAGTGATTCTCGCGCTCAAAATGGATGTTAGTGTCTTGTATATGGTCGGTAGATATGTGATGGGGCGGATTTTCTCGGGTCTGTGGCACCCTGATCTTTAGGAACCAAATGAGTAATCCCGGTAGTGAAGAGGCTCGGGAGCGACTTCTGGTTGAGAGCCTCTTGAAACTGTCGGGCGAGTACAGCGTGACACACCATGAAAGCCTTCAGCCAGTAGTGATGCAGCCCGTCAAGCCCCCGACTTTTCCAGTTCGGGGCCCTACGGACCACCTCAGCTACGTCATCCGGCGTTATGATGACGTGGTCCATGGGCGTAATACCCGCATACTGACTCGCCACAACTTCCGTCCAAGGGCCCTCGTTGTGGTTTATGGGCGCTGACCACAGGCTGCGCCAGAATGCGACCGTGTCGGCCTGATTCGGTGCTGGGCCCGTTCCACTTAACATTGGTCGCTCCAATGATTTATAGAGCCTCTTCTGATCACTCTGGAAGAGACGATTCTGGTTGAACCGTGTCGACCTTTCGGTATATCGCCGAATCTGCTTTACCCAAGCAGCGATTCTCTGCTTCAGGTCGTCTATGCGCTCCGTCAGTTTTTGCATTATATCCGGCTGGGAAAAACTAACACTTTTCCCAGCAAACGTCATCCTGACGGTGCGCACAATCCTTGACCTGGTATTGCCTGACCTGAAGCATATCAGTCTACCGATGAGGGCCCTAGCCTTTGCGATACGTTATTCAATTCTTGTTCTCCTGGCTGGGATAGCACTACTTTGTCCAATAGTGCGTCCATCCGTGGAAAGTTTGGCGCCTATAATACAGCAGACTGCCAGTGCGGCGCCAAAGAGAATTGAGTCCGTCTCGCAAAGGTCTCGGCTGGCTTCCAAATAGGTCACCAGCATTGGGTTCAGAGCCCTCACCATAGCCCGATTCCGCTTGCTTAGGGCTATGCGGGGAAGTTTATTATTATTATTATTATATTTTTATTATAGTTCCAAATATAGTTTGATTATTGTTAGAGTAATAGTGCATGTTCTGCGGGCATGTAGCTATACGGCGTAGAGCCGTGCTGCAATTGTATTAGTAGTATAGTTGTAGCAGGAATGGGTCGGCTTGACCGGGGAAGGTCCACGCTCTCACAGAATACCAGCGTCAAATAGTAGCTTAATGCTGCTGTGTTTCGTACGGTGAGTGTAGAGAATCGGAGAGCCTTTTTACTGGAAACTAGGCATTCGATCTTAGTACTCATGGGTGACAACGCATCTGCATTTTGATCCCTAATCGAGGAAATATGTAGATGTTTAGTGGCCACAGCAACCATTTACCATGAGGTGGACTGTGTGCTCGTTTCTCACCCTATTCCATAAAAAATGTAGTTATTTTCTAGCTTTCAATTCAATATGTAAGCATGTGAATAGTGACTGAACATCAAAACTGACCATAGTTTCATTGTCAGTGAGATGTCGGTCTTTTATCTCATTAACAAAATGGTATGAATCCTTTGTGTGTACTATGGTATGTCCTCTCAGCGGTGACAGTATTTTTGCCAAGTGTTGTGCCAGCTTATAAGTTGGTGAATCTATCTGGCTCACTATGACCGATTGGTGCTAAAATAATAAATAATATAGCTACAGCGTGGCTATATCACGTGTAACTATAATTATGTTAAAAAGTTAAATTTACCTTCTTTTTTTCATCTCTCATAAAATTCTGTAGCTTAATGGTTTCTTAAGTTTAGGCGAACACTACACATTGAATTAAAATATTATTTTCGGATTTCATCGTGTTTACGTCATTGCTGTAAAGCACCCGAAACGTCGGGATAATAAAAATAAATTAAAGTTGAATTAAACGCTATAAAATCCGTAAATAATAGTTTTATTCCAATATGCTGTACCTTACTCATTGTCACCTTTGTCTGCTATTAGTATTCCGAAGAATATTAATATTATTACTTAAAGGTAAGTCCCTTTAATTTATTAATTTTATGTCCTATAGAACTGAAAATTGAAACTACACACACCTGGCACAATATATTTTTCAGTCTCTCTTGATCTTAAATCAATGCGTACTCGTATGTCTGTAAATATTGTTTGCAGTCAATAGATTCTACGTCTTGCCAAACTCTAAATCCAAGTGTTAATACCTACATCGTTGGGCTGCATTGAACTGCAACAAAGGCTTTACAATTTAAAAGCACACGTGTTAACAAGCACTATACTGAAGGCTCAGGTTAATACTCTACCGCGTAATATTATCCTGTGGGATTTGAATCAACAGAGGGATATTGAAACAGGAGATGGGCAGCAGCATCTTATTGATGCCCATTCAATAATAATAATAACTCAGGTTGCAAACCCCATGCCAAGTGTACCAACTATGGAAATTATTACCCTCTATAAGGCAATCTATTTAAGAGAAAGAAATTATACAGCAAGCCATGTGGTGGAAGTGTAAGCGAACTCATCGGCTTATTTCGTTTCGTAGGTTTCGTAAAAAGCGACGATGAAACATTTAAAAAAAGTTAAAGTTACAGCCTATATACGTTCTACTACTGGTCACAGCCCTCTTCTCATCTAATAATAAATAAGATAGATATTATAATGGATGAGATAGATAGAACACTTTATAAGGATCTAACCGAAGCGATAAGTCGTGCGTTCAAGTTTGACCTTCGTCTGTCGTGACACACTACTCACTGGTAGTGGTGAGTGTTTAACTTGAATATTACTAACGTTTATAGCATTTTTTATAAAACGTTGTTCTCATATTACAATTGTTAAATTCATTCAGTTTAAAGTATTATGGCCGCAGTATAAATGTCAACTCAAAGTCTAAAGCAAATCTTTTATCCCAATATTTCACAAAAATAATACCTCTTCAGAGGAGAAACCGGATGTGTAGGCGTTCACAGTATCGGACATTTCGCACGTCTGAAGCTACTCTTCGGTATTTATGCCTCGTATTTTTTTAATTAATAATTAATATATTAACTCTGGCCTCTCAATAAACTTATGAAAATGTGATGTACGTACACAAGAATAAAAAATTTTTGCAAAAATAAGTGGTATTCATTCTGTAAATACTAGGAACAGACACAAGCTAGTAGTACCAGTTTCTCGACTCCACCGCGTCAGTAATTCATTCTTGGGGCGATGTATACGCTTTTACAACAAAATCCCAGAAAATATACACAATTTGTCATACGCAAAAGTTCAAAAATGTTATTAATCTTAGTTTATATAAAAAGGGTTATTATAATATTAAGGAATTTATGGATGATAATGACCCCTGGGAAGGGTGATCGCTACCAAGCTATTTCTAATTTGTCTTGTGTTGTTAATTGTAAACATGATTGTTGAGGCGCCTGTCAAATTATATTAGCAGTTCTAATGCCAATATTAGTTCGTAAGCTGTGTAGGTTTTATATTTTTTTTTTTTTTTTTTTATATATATATATATATATATATATATATATATATATATATATAGCCGTTATGTTTTTAAAACAAAATACAGTTGTATCTGTCATCGTTTGTAAAAAATTAGAAATAAAAAGGTCGATTGAGCAAATTACTGCATTTTATTATTAAAAGGAGATCATATTCCTATTCATGGTCCTAAATCGAAGCCGGATTTGAAAAAACGTAATTGGACAAGATATTATTTAGTGGAATACGCTTGGGAAGTCTTAAATATTCATTGTGGAAATACCACCGAGGGAGTAGAGATATTCAACCAAGAAATCTGGAGTCTTAGCCCCTTAGATATTGGACTATTATTTAATTTATTTAACCCAGCACTCATTATCAGGTAGTATTTTGTGTAAATCGACTGCTAATTTATCAGGTTAGTACCAACCAAATTACTTACAAAATAATTACGTATAACTTAAAGTATTTAATCGGCTAAATTCATTTAATATTGTTTTATATAGTTTCTAATAACCGTCAAATCATAATTAAATTAAATTATAAAGCTTAGTTAAATTATATTGACGATATTATAATTTTTTTCTTTATTGGGTTTAAACTATCAAAATAAGTAAGGGAATTAGTTTTCATTTCTTTATAACTGTAAACAAAATTGTATAAAACTACTTATGAATTATATTTTATAAAATATAAACTTCTTGTTTGTATAATTTATCAGGCATTTGCACTAGTCTCCCAATCCCAGTCAACATGCCAGAAGATAAGGAGCAAATTAGGAAACGAGCTAGCTACAAGGGACAAATAACTGCTTTTTCAAATTATTTAAATTCACTGAAGGTATCTTCATTGGCTGCTACTGAGGTAAATGAGTTGCAATTACGTATTGGTAGGATTGAGTTAATGTATGAACGATATGATGAGGTATCCATCCTCCGTATCCTAGGTATCCATCGAGTGTAATGCTGATAACATAGACGCCCAGATATCAGAACGAACTGAGTTTGAATCCCTTTATTTTAAATCGCTTTCTCTTGCAAAAAGAATCTTAGCAGATTGCATTAAGTTAGATGACGCAAACAGTGACGGTGGCTCTCATTCCGGCAATCATAAATTTGTTAAACTGCCCACTATTCAACTACCTAAATTTAATGGTTCTTATGATAATTGGTTAGAGTTTCATGACACGTTCATGAGCTTCATACATTCAAATGATGAGATAGATGACATAAATAAGTTTCATTATTTGAGAGCGTCGTTGGAAGGGCCCGCTGCTGTGGTAATACAGTCAATCGAATTCTCGGCAGCTAATTACACCGTCGCTTGGACTATATTATGTGATAGATATGATAATAAAAGACTACTAATTCAAAATCATGTGACAGCCTTATTCAATATAGCACCAATTAATAAAGAATTGTCTGTCAACTTAAAACGTCTCATTGATCAAATATAAATAAATTACGTGCATTAGAATCCCTCGGTGAGCCAACTAAACATTGGGAAACACTTCTCATTCATATTATTACTCAAAAATTAGATGCTAAGACATATCGTGAATGGGAAGAGTCTAAAGGTCGTTTGGAGAAAGATACACCTATTACATTCGATATATTTTTGATGTTTTTAAAAAATCGAGCCGATTTAATCGAATCACTATAAATGTCTCATTCTGCTGCTACTAACCGTATAAAAAAAACGATGCGCGTCAACAGTTACTGCCAGACTATAAAGTATGTTTCAATTGTCTTAATTCAGGACATTATGCAAATCACTTCAAAAAGCCAGGATGCAAAATATGCCACCGAATAACACCGCATAACACTCTCGTGCACGTCGCAGATTACCAGTCAAAACCAATTACAGATATTAATACATCTAACACGAGTAGCGGTAATAATAAGCCTGTTATGCAAAGTCATTTCGAACAAACAAACACTTCGTCGGGCTTACAGTCGTCATCCAATTCTAACGCACATTTGTCATTGTCCGCAAAGATAGGCACTGCATCGTGT